ACTCCTCCCCAAGCCTGTAGCGCTGCTGGGGGTTGTTTTGGCCAAAGTGCAGGACCCAGCATTTAGAGAAGTTTTGTGATGCCAGCATTGCTGTATTTGCACAGACAATTTGAGACAGCTCTATATAAACAGTTTTTATTTTTCAGGAAGTTCTTGGAATTTGTCCTTCCAGAAGAAAATGTGAGTCTCTGTACAGCAAGACCAGTTGGACATTTCAAAACTGAGACTAGAACTGCTGGTCACTTCTGAAATTTGTCTACAGATGATTTAGCATCACAGAATCTCAGAATGTTAGGAGTTGGAAGGGACTTTTGGAGATCACCTAGTCCAACGCCCCTGCCAGAGCAGGATGACCTCAGGCAGGCCACATAGGAACACGTCCAGGCGTTTAGTGCTGGTATGGTAGAAGTCAGTACTTCTGTACATGGCCCAGATCCAAAGCAAAGAATCATGACACATTAGAGAAGCTGCTTTGTGTGACCAAGGCTCACTGAATAGGCCTGCAGTTATTATAGCTAACATGAAATCTGCACCGGAAGGTTATATCTGATATTGATATACAGACAAATATAAAGCGAAAATAAGATGAACCTGACCTTTTCTTTTTGGATATTATCTGGCAGCTTGAAGCCTTTGGCAGCTATAAAAGCCCAGCTTGACCTGAACTTCATATTCTGTATTTCTTTACTTCCCAACTCTTCTAGTAATTTTTTTGCATCCTTTTGTAACCTAGGAAAATGTAATGAAAAAATGTGTTAAAAATGCAGGACGTAAAAAGTGCTGAAAAAGAACACAACTGATTCGTGCTTTACATTAGTAAGTCAGCAGAAGCAAAAATGACAAGTTTAAAAAGTCCTGAGAGCTATCTTAGTAGAAAAATGTACCTCAAATACTATTTGATGTTTCAATCCTTCTGAAATAAGGGCAAGGGCATACAAGTCTTTCCCTGTATGATCATCAAGTCATGAATTCAACTAAAAGACCTCTACGATTCAAAGCACTTGAAGAATTAGGTTAAGATTCCAGAATGAGTGTACTCTAGATACATTATAATTGGAGGTGTGGATACCTTCTTAATAGGATGCTGTGACGCAGAGGTAACAGCAGTGCCTTTATGAGGACACCTGGTGCTTTTAAACAAATATTACACTGTCCATCTTTGGAAGCATCAACATACGTGATACGGGCAAGCACTGAATGGATGTGGAATCAAAACTTATTAGGTAGGAAATGCCAGAACAACTCTGACTGTACAATGAAATTTACCTTTACACCATTATGAAATAGTGATTTTTCAAGCTACTCATTGCTCTGTTCCCCAGTTTGTTATGATTAACTTGCTTACCGGGTGCTTCCATCATCGTGAGTCACCATCAAAAGGAGGGACCCTTCTGGTGCATTTTTAATGAGAGTCATCATCTCTCCTGAGTGCTCTGTTGAATCAATTACACAACTGATTATTCATTACACACATACTGCATTCCACCTACTTTGGACTTGTTTTTGCTTTTTGGCCTTCTCAAAACGAGACCTAATCAGGCAATTTTTTCTTCTGCTTAAAGGCAGAGGGCCTAATCTTGAAAGGTGCAGAATGCTGCTAGCTCTCATTAAAGGTTAGGAAGGCATGGATTGATCTGCATTTCTCAGTACTAAGTAAAGATACCTCTGAACTTCTACAAAAAGCCATTTACATTGAGGTTAAGTATATAGATGATTTCTCATGTTTACTCCACATAATATTATACATGCAAGGAAAGCATGGAATAGCTCAGGAGAAGTCACTGCTATTCTGTGAGCTTCCTACTACCACGCTAACTGCAGAATTGAGTTATTCACCCCGTTGCCCCCCCACTTCCATTAAGTGGCAGCCTATCTGCAGTACTAAGCTATTTATTGTTTTTGCAATTACTGAACATACACAAGATACTTGTTTTCCATATAAAAAAAAAGTGCAAGAGGCACCTCGAAGACATCACAGTCTACACATTGTATATAAAATTGTAACCCCATGATTAGACTCAATATGACTTCTATTCGTGCATGTAAGCTCACAAGCGCTGTGAAATGGTCAGAGAACCAGCTTCCAGGGCCTCATAACATTCTGCTTCTCCTTACTAATAGGGAAGGAAATTTATCATTCAAAGTTTGGAAAAGGTGTTAAAAGCTAATCTCAAAGTAGATCATTTTTCTAGCTACGTGGAAGGATGTTAAGAGACAGACTAGCATATTTCCTATGATGATTTTACATCTGAAATAGAAAAAATATGTCAGAAAAAGGAATTCTGCTGAGTGAAGTATCTGGATGTGGTAGCTGGTTAAGTGCTATTCCTATCAGACTGAAATAGTGGTGTGAAAAAAAAAAGACAATTAAAAAAATGGCAATTTGACAATCAAAAAAAAAAGCAGTATTTTTTAAAAAGAAACGAAATAATTAACTATCGCAAGCAGCAGGAGAAATTCAGCTTTTCAGGCAAAATTTGTCATCAGATCTGGTCAGAGCATATGTTTGTTTCTAGCTGATTCCCATTGATAATAATACAATCATAGTCATTTGAAAGAGGAGGACAATTATAGAAATACAAGTCTTTTCTTAAGGATCAAAAACTAGCAAAAGCTCCACTGCACTTTTTCCCCTACCTCCTTCCCACATGTCAAAAAATTTTGCTGATGTAACTTTTCCCGTTTTATCTGTAATTAAAAAAAAGTTGTGTAAATATGAGCAATAACGATGAAATTTTATCAGCATATACAGTGTTTTCAGCTAAAGCTAGGCATCTCTCATTTTGTATACTATTTGGCTTCTCAGTTTTCTTTTGTTTAAGTTTTCAAATTGGAAGGAAGTTTAAGATTTGGGGAGAATATTTTATTTTGTGTAGTCTCTGAATCATCAAATATGACTAAAACATTTTTATAACTTTCTATTTTAGAGAAAGAGTTCAGTTTACTGTGCACTTCCATGTTTTTATATTTGCATATACTCTACTAGGTCACAAACATAAATAGGAAAATTGGTTAAGCTTAAGATTATTTAAATGAGCTCAATACTATATTCTGTGCAGTGTTTCAGATGTGCAAACTTTCATACCATTTGAATCTCAGTGGACAGAAACTCAACGCTCATCATTACCATGTCAGAAATTGGGCATACAGAAAATTAGTCCTTCTAAAACATTTTGGTCAATATTCATGTTTAATCATGTTGCTGTTTAAATGGCTATCTTTGTTTAAATGAGATGTACAACTGGAAATACTTTTCAACTTCCTAAACTCATGCCAACTGCGTTAATTGATTTTCGTTATCCAAGACCCATATCCCTGCTCCTTGAGAGGGTCTTTTCCATTTAGAGCATGTCAGCTCATTTCTAGTGAGAAGACTCAGCAGTTCCTGATGAAGTTCTGGCTTATCTTTGATCCAGCACCATGAAGGCAAATTCTTCTGTACCTAGGATTCTAAATGGCAGGGTTACTACACTGATGTGGGGAAAAAGTGGCAAAAATCTGTCAGTGGTAGTTTTCTAGAACTGAGCTGCTTCTGAACAGAGATCATCCAAAAAATGGAAAAGGCTGTAGCGAGGACTTCAGAAATCCTCAAAATTCTTTTTCTTTCCCTCTGTGTTATCAGTTTTGGCTTAATAGTTCCAACTTCCTTCTTAAAAAAGACCATATTCATTCTGAGAAGGAAGAGTTATCATGATGGAATAAAATACAGGTGTGATACCATAGGAAACTTACTGAAAACAGTCATTAGCTTAACTGATCTAATTAAAGGACATGTAGAAATTACGTCTCAGTACAAATTGGTTTGAGATAATGGACAGATTTACCTGTGGATGGAGACGAAAGTATAGTTAAAATGACTATATGTGTGATGAAGGAACTGGCTGTTTAAATATGTGTAAAATTTTGACAGATCACTTCTTTTTCCTCACTAATCTGAGATGCAAAGACAATACTAGTTCCTTACTTCTATTTGCTGTTTCCTTACATATTCAGGATGAATACTCGCCCTCTTATTCTAAGGCTCTGTTGAAAACTCATTTTAACTGTTTACCTGTTATAACCATTACTGGTTTCTTACTGGAAAAAAAATAAGAGTAGTAATTTACCTTGGTTGGACCTTGGGAAAGAACCACAACTCTCAGTTCCTGCTTGTCCCTTATTAGTGGAGCAATAGATACCTTTTGTCAAGGACTGAACTTTGAAAGCTGAGTCTTACCGTTGGAGATCATGGATATTTTTGCTATGTTACATAAGAAGCAGCTCTTTTATCTAGCAAAATAGACATATACCACTTCTATGTACACATTTTCTGTTTTCTTATGCTAATTATGAACAGATTTCTTCTGTTCGTACAGAAGACTATTTCTCTCAAACACAGATTCTTTTTTCCTACATATACCAATTTTGCCCTTTCCTTTTCCTTCCATACTAGCTAGTAAAAACCACCACAAACCAAACCAAACCAAATTACCCCAAGGAACTTTGTAAATTATTGCAGTATGAAAGTATGTGTGTCTCTAACATTTTTTTCTCTTACTTACAGTTCACAATGGCAATGTTTATACCTCTTCCAACATTACCCCTCTCTTCACTTATAAGCCTGGAATTGAAATAAATATAGTATCAGTGGAATTAATCCATCCAGAAGCTCTGATCCAAAGTTATATTTACCGATGCTCAGTCACTTTCTGATGTTCATGTTTTCTTCAGTTATTTAACTCCAGATTGTTGTAAGCAAGATCTATGGCTTAAAAATCTTGCACATTATCTCAGTCCATTTCCTTCAGTGGGGCAGAATAAGTCTTTCAATATGAGTCCCATCAAGAAAGTACTTCATACTAATGCAGCCGGAAAGATAAAATAGAAAAAAAACCCCAAACCAGCAAGATAAAATGTGGGTTGGTGGCAGTATTCAGTGTGGACTGTATCTACATGAAAGATCATTGTGAGGTTTGAAGTCACTCTACCTGCCCAGTTCGAAAAGCCATGAAAGAACCTGACTTTCAGAAGGTGTGACCATTCAACATACTGTAAACTAACTATCCCACACCTTGAAAATTAAAAATCATACTTGAAACGAACAGATGAATGCATCGTATGTAGACTGAAAGTTAGACTGGTACTCACAGCTCATCCTCAAAACAAATTTTAGCCAGTCTTCCTTTGCCACCACCGCTAAGAATCCGATAGGCGTAGTCCCCAGGTGAGCAGGGAGACCAGTGATCACACTTCTGCCTTTTTGGGGCTGGGGCTACAACAACAAAGATGAGAAAATGTTTTCTTGGGTGCTGAATAAACAATTTTATGTGGAAAGAATCACTTAATGTTGACACACTAAGCTCAGACATATATGCACAGAAGCCAATCCTGCCCATTTTCCATTATCATGACAACATTAGAACAGATTTGCCTGAGTTTTAAGTTACTATTGACTTTCAGACAGCTGCGGAGAGCAAAACCAAGCTTATCTAGGGAAAAATGGTCCATCTAGTATGATCTGATTTGAATCTAGAATAATTAATCTGTGCTATTTCATATAACTGGGCACAAGGGCTACAGGGATGAAGGATTCCTACTATTAGGTTGAAGCTAATGGCTATAATTGTTATTTTAAGCCTTTTTCACATGCTAATACAGTCATAGAATGAGAAAAATGTACACATTAAGCCACCCAGTCAGATTAGAGTGTGAAAAATATAAGTGTGATTAGTGTCAAAAGGTACAGTGTCAAGACTGCTGAAGCAGTAACTGCAGATGGGCCTTGACCACAATCTGTAAAGGAGATTGTCTCAGCAACCTTGAAGAATAAAATTTCCTTATCAGGCATAGAAAAACAAACTAAAAACATGATGTGTAACTAGCCTGAATGTCAGCCACTATTATATACTGCTCCAGCAAGCTTTGCATAACCTCCCCCAACGACCCCAGAGGAATGAGCAAGACCCCAGCAATTACTAGGACAAGCGCAAAGATTACAAGTGACATGAGAAAAGAACCAGAACTCGAGGAGAGAAAGGAGCTACAGACCAAAAGACAATATAAAAGAGAGAAGGCTCCGAACTCTGGCGCGCGCTGTTGGAAAAGCAGAGGCTCCCCGGCACACCCAGCGCTTCTTGCCCTTTTCACCTTTTTATTGTAACATCTTACAAATAAATTTATAAATTAACCTATTAGACTCTGAGCATTTATAACAAGAGGAAAGAAATAATGAGAATTTAATCCCAGAGTTTGGTTAGTGATTCAACAGTTTACTACAGTTGTAAAATACATGTGGCAGAACTAAAGATGCAGCTTTGGGCTTATATGCCAGCAAACAAATGAGGTTTTCTTACATTACTATACATTGAATTATATTTGCATATTGGTAAATATAGGCTGATGTGTTTCTTCAAAGATAGTGTCTAGGAAATAGTTCAGTCCTGATGAACTTTACGCAGCCAACTTTGTTCTTACAATAGCATGTATCATTTGTCATTTACAGAATCACAGAATCACAGAATGT